GGCAATCCTTTTGAATTGACGACTCCCATAGTCGTTAAAATGTGTAACGATATAATATAGTAGCTGATATTATGACATTAAAGAAATTCTAACTACTCAGACGTTACTCCATTTCAATGAATGATAACCTCAAAGACGATGGTGACGATATTATAAAGTGAGGCCAGTTCTTCAACTGGTACTCCTAAGAACTCCTCTTAAGACTGATATGTATAAGTACGTATTAAGTAGTTGTATACAAAATTGATCTCATTTTATTCATAAATTATACACATTAATTAGGTAAGACTTAAAGGCTGATTGTGACTGATAATTATGTTGATTTTTAGAAGATTTTTTTTTGTATTTGTTGATTGAGAAAACACAATTTATATTATTTTTAGTTTTCCTGTTCTAAGCAATGTGTCAAATATGATACATAGTTTTTTTTCAATTGATTATTATGAACCTGGCAATGTGCCTAATGTGATACATATAATAAAACGTAAATTAAATAATTACAATTTTTTTTTATTATTTTTCGCCTTTCCAGTGAACACCTAGGAACACAAACCAGGCATTATTTTTCAAAAATACTGAAAATAAAATGCCTGCCAAGTATAGGGCTAGGCAAGGGTCTATTATACAACTAGTGTTTACTTTATTACAGTATTTACACCTTTATTGTCAGGCAACTATGGCCCATAGATATACCTTACATACTAGCATAAATATTATAATATACAGTTGATGTTAGTAAATAAACTTAAGCCTATGTTAGGAGCATTCCACTACGTATGATGTAATAGGTATGCATACTTAGGTATTTATGACCTGACTCTACCTATATAGATTTTTTTTTAAGGGGGGAAAATCATCGAATGACTGCTCCCGTCTGGGTGAGGCGGGAGGGAGTGTCAGACTCTTACTGACTAAAAACCACCCCGTTCCATCTCCTGCACGTCGAGCCGGACCCCCGGTTACCCGTTAGGTTCTCCGCGACTCCGAATACCTATATAGATACCCAGCTGGTGACAGTTATATTATAACAGATATAACTGCAATTAATATGCTCAATTACCTAAAATAATAGGTAAACAATTTGGCTGTTTAAAACAACATCTGTGGTATAATATTTACATTCAGAATTGGTATGCTGGCCAGTCGAAGGTTGTTTGTTGATGTTGTTTCATACGCGCCCCGAATACACACAAACCAGCGTAGGGTTGATACGTTCTAATATATTCTCATTTACTTCTTGAATGAACCTATTGATTGGCATTAGGTAACCTCCTAATTGTAGTTAGCTCAGTATGCCACATTACAAGTGTTAGAAGGTGTAGTCTTTGAAAGTTTGGATGGAGTTTTCGATGTAATTAACTTCAAAAGTTCTACGATGGCTACCGAAGAATTAGGACGAGGAGGATCGTAAAAATTAAAAAAAATCGTACCTGTATACCTATATTCAGGTCACCTGTCTGTCTCTAGAATATATACGGATAATCATAATTATTATCATTCAAAGTGTCATCAAATTATCCTACCTTTTCTGATACCACAATCTGCCACTTGATTGGATACCTATTTACGAACTGTCAAATAATCTGTCTATAATTTGTTCGTCTGCAGACGAAAAAAAAAATTTTTATTAAAATTTTTGGCTAAGAAAAATCCTAGCCCTCTAAAAAAATTACTTTGACTTTCCTGTATTTGTACTTTGAATAGTCTGCGTCCAGACGCAATGACCAGTCATTAAGTAGAAATTCATAATTACCGCGATAATTGTATGTATCATAAATTCCTTTGACAACCCTAATGGTATTGAAAGCATAATTCTATCGAGCATAACACGTAAACTTGCTAAACACTGATCTTACCGCCATTGTTAATGCTGTCATTGACTAGACAGAGTTCATCATTGAGCTGAGAGCTATCAATGGTCTCAGTCATAATGTGGGCTCAAGCGATTCCGTACTTGATTGTTGTACATGTGGTGATGGGAGATCAGGATATGCCTGGGTTCGTGAGAGAAATGAGCGATGGTGTAGAGAGTAGAGGCTTCAAGATCATTTACGGCGATGAAGACATGACCATTATCAACCAAGTGGTCAGTGAAGCCGAAAAAGGCAGTGCTTTTAAGAAGAGAGCACATTTAAATGAGGCTATTAAGCCCTTACCAGCGCAAGATGTCAAGTGCTTGATGTCTGTGGATCGGTACTGTAGCAAGGAGATGGGGCTGATGAAAAGTAAGATTATTGAATTGTTCACAAATATAACACTTACGTTTCGCGCTATGCCTTAATTTTTTATACCCTTCTCGTAGTACACCATTTATTAGTTGCCTGAGTCCTTGGTTAGTTTCCGTCCATTGCTGGTCATAGGTCTCTATATAGGCCAAAGACGAGTTCGATCTTTAGTTTTACGCATCCAACCAAAGTCAGCCACGTATATCGTGATTCTGCCTAACTGAAGGGCTCCCTGCACGACGTTTGCCTAGACGTGGTCTTCACTTCAGAACACGTCTACCCCAACGTCGTTGGTTCTTCAACAAACGTAGCCGGCTCACTGTCATTTCAGTATGTCGATAACTTTACTTCTCCGTTGGACCACCTCGTTTTGATTTTGATTCTTCAGAGAGATTCCGAGTATAGCCTTCTACTTATTTATTTATTACGATACTTATTTAGTAGACAGGTGAAGTAATAATATTGACGATAAAAACTGTACATCATTCCACAGGTGTATTGATACAAGCTGTAAAAGATGACTGCGTGAAATGTTCAGTACAGCAGAAGGATCAAGCTGGGAAAGTGATTGCGTCCATGATGGCTCATGATCCCGTCGCTTGGAAAGTTTTCCTCACCAGGTACGACGGAATCAAAAAAGTTCAAAGGATACTAGGATAGAAGAATAATCAGAATGAGAATATGTAAATATGGCACTATTAGTATGTATACTTTCCAAGATATTTTTATTGTTTATATGTATGTATAACAGCACCCAGATAGGTATTGCAATAAGTTTCTTTCTGAATCTGTACATTGAAATGATAAAGCTTCAGTAGGTATTCTGGAATTTGAACTGGAATTGTATGAAATAAAATTATGATGATTCAACCTGTATTGTTATAGATCTGCACTTCAAATAAAACCAAGAGAACAACCTAAAAAACGTGAAGAGATTCGTTTGAAAGATGTAGGTGAACCAGAAGATGTAATACGGTCACCCAGTAATAGTTACATTATGCCTGGAGTGCAGGTTAGAGTTAAACGATATGTTGCCGAAAAGATACCATAAATAGTAAATAATATTGTCAGTAGACTAAGTACTCATTTAAATATGTATTTATTGGTAATATTATGGAAGTAAACCATGTCATTTGAAGGTTTTGTTTTATTTGGAGTTTATACTAACTTGCTTGAAAGTGTTATGTCTTAAACAGAAGACGAAATAAAAATTATTGAAAAAAATGAAGATGTGCAAGCTGTGTATGAAGAAAAAGGTAGTCTTTCACAGGAGTGTACAATGCAATGTGATGAAGTTAAACATGAATTCAAAATCTTTTTTATCCAGTAGATCAATTTTTTATGCGGATGATAAAGATTCAGACTTCAGACTAATTGAATGACTGAATGAGAAACAGAGCTGTGCTCAAAATTTATTTAGGAATATTAGCGGCATCCATATTAAAATTATTATCATCTAATCCTTTGTGATTTGCAGTTCCATCATCGTCACCTGGTGTCTGTCAGATTTATTCTTTAGAAACATTATTTGTATCTTCATTGGAGTTTGTGACATTTGATGCCTTCTCATCTGTGGCTTCCTTGCTAGCTAAATATTTAGCTCTGTAACTTCCATCCGATTTGTATCTGAAAAAGGATAAGTATTGATATTAACTGGTAGGTCCTTACTAATGGGCACATTACGATCATTTGCTGCACGGTTGGTGGCGACCGGCTGCCATGCAACGTGTCGCGGGTTCGATTCCCGCACGGAACAACACTTTGTGTGATCTACAAATTGTTGTTTCGGGTCTGGGTGTCATGTGTATGTGAACTTGTATGTTTGTAAACGCACCCACGACACAGGAGATAATTCTAATGTGGGGCAACGTTTAAAAAAAAATTGCTTCACTTTTATGGTTAATATAAAAGAATGCATTGTTATATGTATTAACATTTACCATTATTTATTATTCATAATTCAATTAAAAATTATGTACACTTGAATATTCCAAATCTTGTTACTTACTTCTCCTCGAGTTTAGTCCATTCTTCGGGTCTATTGTCGATGAGGTAATGACAGACACGGTCAGCACCCTCACGCTGTCGCTCAGTACACTTCTTACAATCATTCTCTATAGCATCCGGAAGGTTCTCTGTACAGACAGACAAATATAAAAGTATGGAAAGAAGTAACTAGGTGCAAGTGACAGAAGACATCGAATAAATATTTGTGGAGTAAACAGAAAGAAGAGGTAACTGATCTAGTAAATTTTATGCTGTAGTAAAATTGAGTTTGAAGTTCAACGAAATGAATTGAATAAAGATTAAGAGCATTTTAAGACTAAGTTAGGTAAGAAACTAGGCAATTTTATTATTGAAAAAAAAATATATTAATGAAATTTTAAAGACACTAAACATGAATTCGAAGCGATTACATATAAGAAGGCGTTGCCAATGTTTTGTGCTAAATAAATCGCTGTAAAGAACTATTTTACAAATGACACAAACGAAAAATAGTTGTATGATCTCTAACATTTATACGCACTTTTTAATTCTTTTCCATCAGCCGTGCAAGGTCCAAGATCCATCAGACAGTTGACATACCCAGTCAGCAGACGGTCGTTGCTAAGTATCTCATCCAGATCAATTCCATCATACTTTGTCGTATACGTGGATGTCTCCGTAGCATTGCTCTGAATGGTCAAGTATATTAGAAGCATCATTGTTATAAATGACTTCTTCATCATTCCTGAAAGATGAAGGCTGTTTCTTACCTATATTCTTAAAGACATTTTACTGTAATGCAGCCCCTAACTTGTCTATAACAGCAATTGCATGCGTAGTAAGATTCATATCACCAATATGAATTTTTTACTTTGTGGTAGGCACATAGTACTAATCATATTATAGTCGCGGTACACCCTGTTCGTCTACTTCAGAACAAAGACAAATAACAAAATTTCGTGAAAATTTCGATGCCCCTTGGTCGAGTTGGTTTTAAGTAGGTATTAGATATAGCGACCTCTTTGCTTCTGATTGCTCCTTAGTTAATTTTCAAAGCAATCATACTACTCGTGTTGAAATATTTATTCCGCAATACACCGCTACTTAATTTTCTGCTAATAGATTGTGTGCAGGATGATTTACTCATGAAATATGTCTATACAGTTAATCACACTTTTATTTCGCGGTGGGACTTGGAAAGGTATTCTGGTTCATATTATCAAAAGTTTCATCACCCTGGGATGTTTCCAATATTTCGTAACTAAAATATAATTTCTAATTTGAAAATTTAATATTAACTTACCAAGAATAGCTGAAGAAAATACAGCTTCGTTCAAAGTGAGCACTGAAAAGTAAAAGGAAGTAATTCTTCTTTTATATCGTGAAGAAAATAACCCTAATGAGTGAAAATCAGGCATTGTTATCTCAAGTCATTGAATATACTTAGTTTAACCAGTGTAATCAACATTGTTTCCTATATTGTTGAAACTGTTTACATACTGTTAAGTTTTGTTAATTTCTGTACGTTTGTTCGTTTGTTAAACATAACATAACATCACGCCTTTTATCCCCGAAGGGGTAGGCTTAGGTGTACATTATGCTACTGTACAATGTAACACCCACTTTTCACTATTTATGTTATGAGTCCCATGTAATAGGGGGTGAGCCTATTGCCATATACCGGGCACAATTCCAGACTCCGTGCCCGTTGCCCGACCCGGGAATCGAACCCGAGACCCCTTGCCCGGCAGTCGCACTTGCGACCACTCGGCCAATGAGGCAGTCGTTCGTTTGTTAAAATATAACTTATAAACGCCTAAACCGATTTAAACGTATAAAACCTGGTTAGCTCATGAGTAACATCAGAAAATGAATCATGCTAATCATCTTCTCTGCACAAGAGATGATAATTTATCTTTTCATTACTTGTTTTTTCTTTATTCTAAATGAACTTGTCTTGGCTCTTATTTAAAGAATAGGTTGCAGGATCTTCAATTTTCTTTTCCCCATTTTCCTTACCAGCTGTTATTTTGTTCAGTCTGCAATTAATTTATTCTTATACTTTTCGGACTTTTCGGTTTTCTTTGATCCATCACTATTGTAATATATTACTATTTCCATAAAATTATTCACAAGCCAAATACCTACGATGACTACTAGGTCTTATTACATTCTGAACACGTGTCAGCTTTTTGTTAAGTTTTTTAGTGGTAGAAGGAGCAATCGGTGTACGTGAGTGGTTTAACCTGTTTTTAGCTCTATAAAAGATGAAGGTCTGTTTCATTACTTTTTTTTTTATCAAAAATAAGCTAAAGGGCTATCAAAATGACACAGTTTTAAAAAAAACCCTAACCTTACCTAAGTCGATCTAATTTATTTATTTATCGAAATACTCGAACAGTTTTAAAACAACAATATAAGAAGCAGGTTTTTTAACGATTTTTGAGAAACTGGTCTTTTAGGATCGTTAAACGTAAAAAAATTAATGAATGTGACGTACGCTGGTTAGTGCTTGAACCGCTAAAAAAAATTAACCTGATGTTCTGTCTATGTAGTATGGTATTTTAAGTTTGTTTCATTTATTATTATGTGTGGGAGAGCCAAGCTTCGGTACGAATGGGCCGGCTCGAATATGACCAGTGATACCACGGCTTCACAGAAAACCGACGTGAAACAACGCTTGCGTTGGGTTTCGTCGTGTGAGTGAGGTTATCGCACTTGTAACGCCTCCGCTGTTCCGTCTGGGTGTCCATGGCCGACGCCGATTGTTTATCATCAGGTGATCCGTTAGCTAGTATACCGGCTTAACCCTTAAAAAAAATTTCTTAATCTCCCTATACACTATCACTAAATCCACGATAACGAAAATTCCACGAAATTTGTTTATACTAAAGCAGTCTGTAAATACCAGAAATAAGGTCTATAATGAAGTGGTCTGTAATTTAGAAAGTGCGGTGTAGTTGCATCAGAGCAAAATATATTTGCCAGCGCATTTCTTTCCTTGCAGGTGTTGTAAGAGCTAAGAGCTGATCAAAGGACTGCACATTTAATAGAGAAAAGGACATTAGACATCAGCTCAGATGGACTTTGACCTTTTGACCTGCGATCTCTAACCTGCATAGCAAACGCGGAGATTACAGTAAACCTCCTCAGATAGATAATGCTTACATTACTATTATGCTTCTTTTTATTTTGCTTTTTTATAATGTTTTTTGCTTTCATTGTTTTTTTAATGCTGTTTTTTTATGTTTTTATTGTTTTTTTATTTTTGTTTTTCAATGTTATTTTATGTGTGTATATCTGGTGGTCCATGCTTGGTGGCAAATAAATTATTTTTCTGTCTTTCTTTCTTTCTTTTATTATTGATTTAAATAATAAAATATAGTTAAGCAGTGGACTATCATTGGCTGTCGTTATACATCTGGGAGCAATGCAACGGAGTCACTAACGTATTTTTTTATTTTATTGAACCCTCTATAACTTTTATAAAAATATTCCATTTTACAACAAAATGCTCTCATTTTAAAGGTAACCAAATTGCCTTTTGTCCGACATGTATTACCAATTAATAAAATACTTGTAAGTATCAGAAAATTACTGACGACTGCTTCGTTGGCCGAGTGGTCACAAGTACGACTGCAAGGCAAGGGGCAGAGCAAGGGGCATCGGGTTCGATTCCCAGGTCGGGCAATACATTAATGTTTTTTTTAAATCTCAGTAGTAGCACGAAGCCTGGAATTGCACTTGGTATAATATGGCAATACGCTCACCCCCTGTTACATAGGACTCATAACATAAATATTGATAGTGGGTGTTACATTGTATCTACAGTGGCATGAAGTGCCGTAGTGTGCACCTTTGCCTATCCCTTCAGGGATAAAAAAGGCGTGACAGTATGTTATGTTTATCAGAAAATATTTATCACAAAATGAAAATGATATAATGCGTGGCCCCCTTTCTTTGCTCCCGAGTGGAGTTTGGTTAAGACAATAAATAGCAAGAACGCTTTGGGAAGGGTTTAAATATAAAGCCACTGTTTGCAATATTATTCTGTAAAAACATTGACATATTTGTAAGGTCAACCGTCGATTCAATTAGCTTAGACGTCAGTTTAATTACGATGAATCACTGGGTGATGTCCGCAGTGGGCCTAATTCACGGTCACCTAACTAAACACACAAGAGTGACCAGTTAATAAATAAAGTTGAGTATCTGGCGACAAATATTGCACATTATTTTGGAAAGTCTTGGGAGGCACCCTTCTATGCAACAGTCGATGTCTTCCAGTTGATGAAGATTTGTAGGTAATTAGAACACCAATTTACGTCGTTTAAATAATACCAATATGAGTGTATTATTTACCTGACGCGGGGAATAAAAAACGTCAAATGTGTTAATAATTTTTTTCGTCTAGGTACTAAAACTTGCAAAATATTAGACTTAACGCACATTTATGAGCTATAAAACTTCATAATAATGCCTTAAAATAATGCTTCCTGACCTGGAGCCTCGAATACTAGTACAATGTAATTATAAGAGGTAAACTATGGTTTTCCTGATCTTGATAGTCACGGTACAAGGGCACTCTGTGTCACTACAGACGCCTGATATACGTAGAACACATCTAAAATAACAACAACAACATTATTCTTATAAATTAGTCACAGATATATTTTTTGGCAGTTAGCGAACTGCTCAGTAATTGAGGAAGAGGTAGCGTTGTTTGATCTATACGGTCGATGATTTCACTGTGTTCCTTAAGCCGTCTTCTAAACGTAGGGGTCATCCCTGTCGCGGAGAACCTAACGGGTAACCGGGGCTCCGGCTTGACGTGCAGGAGAAGGAACGGGGTGGTTTTTAGTCAGTAAGAGTCTGACACTCCCTCCCGCCTCACCCAGGCGGGAGCAGTCATTCGATGATTTCCCCCCTTAAAAAAAGGGGGATCATCCGTAACTCCTTAAAGACACCGAGATATCGTATCTTGGTATATAGGTCTAGAATTTCTGGTGTTGGCTGTGATTTGGGAGTAACTCCTTTCAAGTTGGAGTTAGGAAGTAGTCTACAGTTGATAATTTTAATGATCACTTTCCTAGAGAATTTACTACAAACAAAGGTTTGCCTTATGATTTTATGACGATTCAATATAGTTAATTCTTTCTCAGTAAGTTTCTTAAATACGATGTTGGAACGACAAATTACGTGAAAATTATAGTGTTGGATCTTAAAGAAGATAAGTTGCTGACAAAGGCACTACACCGTGAAATTATGGGTTTGATGAACAACAGTGAGGTGTAATGATACACCTGAACCCCTTTACATACTGTATTCACTATGAGAAATGCAGTCGTTCGGCAGAACATGATTGTTGAGGTTACTTAGATTATGGACAGTGCATTCAGAGATATGAGAATATTAGTGAAATAAAATTGGTGTTCTAAAGGACTAGTGTTAAAGTCTACATTTGAACAATAAATCTATTGAAGGTGAATAGTCAGATTCGTGTATTATATTCAAAATTGGTTCTTATATCGTCAGGTGAGACTACTTTTAAAATATTCATAGGTTTAGGTTTTAGGGTTTAACTGTGTATTGTTCAAGTCAGCTTATTTGTTTGAGCTGTAGTCAGAGAAGCTAAAAGTAAGATGGAAGAATTTAATTATAATGGGTTTCTTGTAAAGGAAATCTAAAGCAGATTTACTTTTCGGTTAAAGACTTGAAGATTTTCGAGATAAGTTGTAGACAATCGTGATAAAGTACTTATTGAAAATAATCTTAAGGTATTTAGTTGCTTACAAAACACTAGCGAGAATTTTAACGAATTTTGGATTTTGATCGGCAATAAAGAGTCAGGTTCGGATATAGAGAAAGTTTACGTATATTGTTATAAAAAAATTCAACATATACAAAATATATTACTCATAAAATTATACAGTGGGAAAAAACTAGAATTATGAGTCATTAATTAGTATTCTTGCGAGGCGGTGGAAGTACGTCACTGACGACATTTAATGCATATTTATTTATGTTCTGGTCTTTCATATGCTCTAGATCTTGAATCGAGATTAGACAGGGGAATTTTTCATTTAAAAAATATTTGTTTATTTATTGTTTTTATTTCTCTATGTGCTTGATTTCTGTAGTATGGTGAGAATGGTAATAAGCAAGCAGTTTCTGAATGGTCAAATAACAACAGGTAGATTTGATTTTTTGATAAACACCAGGCACGATAACAATTATACTTGTCATCTGAAATTATAAAAAACTTATTTGAATCTTATGGGTTATTGTTTTTGACAGACGAAGAAGCTTATTGAAATGACCTTTTATTTTGATTACTAGTTAGTCACTTGGAATAAGGTATTAGGCTGTAATAGAGATGTATGCTGTATAGGACAAAATAGACATGCAACATATACTACCTACAATATCTTAAGTGTAGATATGACATTTGCTAATAAATGCATTAATGAATAAAAATAAAACAATGAGTAATCAACGAGCATCACATATCCTTATTTATATACTAAGGCAACAATAAAGATAGAAACATTGGGTTACACAAACAGCCAATTAGCAAGACAAAATAATATATGCAGTAGGTACTATGGCGCAAATCTATTTGGCCCCTTGATCTCCGAGTTTGCGCAACTATTATTTACCTAAACATTTATTATAACTAAACACATTCAGTACCGGATTAATTAAGCGCGGGGCCCGTAACTAATTCTATTGAGGGGTCCTCGGTCTTAAACGCACGCTCTGGAAGAATTTCCAGAGCGTGCGTTTCTTCCAGAGCGAGAGAGAGAAGTTACCTAAGTATCAGTTTGCTTGGAATTAGGATGTTATTTTCCAGACATTTTTTAAATTAAAGATCGGATTTTTTTTATTTAATTTTTTCTATTTTCAAGTCAAATCAATTCAAGGACTTGATTTTCCATAAAAGAATTAAGTCAAATACTTGAGGTTACATTAAAAAAGTAAGTACTCGAAAATCGAGACGAATTTGATAGCACGGGGCCCCTTGTGCGCGGGGCCCATTGGCCATTGCATGTACCGTGGTCAATCCGACTCTGAATATGTTTCAAAGTTTATGGTTAATCCAACTGCCGTCATTAATACTCAGTAGTGAATTAGCGAGTCAAGATTTCTGAGATCAAAACATGTGACGCTGACGTCACTGATGTCAGAACCGCTTCGTTTTTACGACCTAGAGGAGAGGCTAGTATAGCTATAATTTTGTATCGATTACGCAACTGTATCGAGACAATAGTCGCCTCCTGACCTAGACCTGATAAACGCGATCGGATGAACATATTTGTCATTGTTCTTGGTCATTTAGTAAACTGGATCACAGGCCACGCCGTTTTGCTATGTTAATTTTAATTAGTTGCGTTTCGAGATCTCGTTTTGAAGGTCCTATTGTTAAAAAAGTATTAATTGCATCTTTTAAGAAACAATTTTAATAGTTATGTGTCACATCTCTGCTTTTAATAGGTATTCTTATCTACTTATGTAAACTTAATCTTTGGGACAAGTTGTTTTTTTTACGAAATTTAAATTAAATGTTCAAGTCTAGTAACATCACTAGTCTCTAGACAACGATGTTACAACATTGAATGAATTACAATCAATGATTTTGATACCTTATATTAAATACCTATAAGATTGTGGAAGGTAACTCTAGAGTTGCGATAATTTAATGGAGCATCTAACAAGCCCAGTTTAAGTTTTTGCCTTCCAACCATAAATAGGTACTATGGGTAATTTTTTTTTTATGAAATCGTTTTTTCATAAAAAAACCGGCCAAGTGCGAGTCGGACTCGCGCACCGAGGGTTCCGTACAAACCTGCAAGGTTTACAAAGTTCGTTCATTACGACAATCGAGTCATTAACTAAAAATCTAAGGTTTTCGGAATTTTTCCTTTATGTGTGCTATAAAACTTTGCTTCATGCCAAATTTCAAGATTCTAGGTCGACTGGAAGTACCCTTTAGGTTTTGATTCCCTTGCGAGTACTTGCGAGTTTCAAAATATGCAGCTTAAATTGCTGTTTCTTTTGATTGCGTTGACATAGAAGTTTGATTTTGTTACAGCTTAAAAGTATTATAGACCTGAGTATTTGGTATGAATTTCAATTTAATACCTCTACGCGTTTATGAGGAAATGGGTAGTAAGTTTAAAATTATTAAAAAAATATATATTATGTGATGTAACTAAAAATGTATGGTTTTCGTAATTTTTCCTTTAGCTATAAGACTTTGCTTCGTACCAAATTTCAAGATTCTGAGTCCACGGGAAGCACCCTGTAGGTTTTGATTCCCTTGCAAGTGTCGAAAATTTGCGGCATAAACGGCTGTATCTTTTGATTGCGTTGGCTTAGAAGTGTGATTATTTCACAGCTTCAAGGGACAGTAGACCTGAGTAATTGACATAAATTTCAGCTTCATACCTCCACGCGTTCCTGAGAAAAAGAGTCTTGACAGACGGACGGACGGACGGACGGACGGACAGACGGACAACAAAGTGATCCTATAAGGGTTCCGTTTTTTCCTTTTGAGGTACGGAACCCTAAAAATTACCCAAAGTATTTAAGTATTTATTACGGATCACCTGATGGTAAGCAATCGGCGTCGTCCATGGACACCTGGAACACCACATGCGTTACAAGTGCGTTACCGGCCTTTTGGGGATTAGAAGTTTGAGGATCGTTAGGGATTCAGGAATTGGGGAGATTGGGGAAGGGTAATTGGGCCTCCGGTAACCTCATTCACACGACGAAACACAACGCAAGCGTTGCTTCACGTCGGTTTTCTGTGAGGTCGTGGTATCACTCCGGTCGAGCCGGCTCATTCGCACCGAAGCATGGCTTTCCCACACTTAAAAATATTTACACGTTTATATATGCACGTTTTATCGAGTACCTACATCAGCAATGCTGTCAATAATGTAGGAAGAAAGCCTGGAGGTCAATCACCCGCTAATTTCACGTACGTCAGTGTACCGATCATGAATTAATCTTACAGCTACTATCACGTTGAAATCTAAATAGATTCTGCAATGCACGTGGCTGTTGCGGGTTTTAACGCAGTCAAACAGTTCAATGGCCTGTTAAACAAAATGCTCATCACTAATGATAGTTTAAGGAACTGCTCTGTCCAAATTTTTCTTTGATGCATAATAAAAATATTAAATAACAAGAGTACTTCATCTCTTTAGAACTTCTTGAATTATATATATAATAAGGGGGGAAAATCATCGCCTGGACAAGGCGGGAGGAAGTGTCCGCCTCTGACTGACTAAAAACTACCCCGTTCCGTCTCCTGCACGTCGAGCCGGAGCCCCGGTAACCCGTTAGGTTCTCCGCGACTAAGAATTAGGATGCACCCATATGCGATCTTTAAACCTGCCTGCTGACTCTAAACGTAAAAATGGCAAAACCTCTTTTATGTAGAGGACTGTTAAGGACATCACTCACTTAACAACCACGGCTCCAGAACTTATAAGCACGGCTCCGGTACGACGTTTTTTATTTCGGAAACAATACAAAAAGGTTTTTTCTATTGACGTTAAGAAGTGTGTCATACGCCGTACGATTTAAAGTTTATATTTAAATGACAATGACATTGCTGGGTTGGAGCCGTACTGAAGCCGTACTTGTTAGCTGAACGATGACCTATACCTACAGTTCTTTAGTTTCCTGATACCCGTGGGAAGAGGGGTGGTTATGAAAATATTCTTCTGTGTTGCAACATACGACTGCTTATGATCACATCTCATAAAGATACTACAGTTCTATCTTAAATTGAACTGGTCTTTGTACTAACTTGTTTTGCAATGGAAGTTAAAACACTTAGGAACATGTCACGCCTGTTAGCATGCGAGTGTTTGTTCGCACTTACTAATCCATTAGAAACTGGTTCCACACGTTTCTTAGTAAAGGATAAGAGCAAATATATCTCAAAGACACGTTACTGACTATGCAATATTCTTAGATTTCTTAGATATATGCTAAATATTTATGTTTATGAAATACCTAGTTACATTTCTGGAATATTTATTATTATTATATTATTAATCTATGTCAAGGGGTATGAAGTTTAATTCATCGATCGCTTCTCATTAATATAAGTGGTGGAAACCTCTTCTAATTTATTTCGTGCCCAAAGAAGGGCCTAAATTGTTAAGTTGGATCTTTCATATTCGAATGAATTAGTTCAGGGGCTAGTCTCAATTACTTCGCCAAATTAGGATACTTATGTTTTGCATCGAGCTAGTGCCGAAATTCAGTCTCTGTAGTTAAATGTACGGAGCGATAGGTAACAAAAGGTTATTGAGATAAGTTTTAATTAAGTGCTTATTTATGAGGGTAACAGTGGGAAACAAAAAGGTCTAAAAATTTAAATTAAGATTTTAATATACACAGTGAATGACATTTTAAAACTTATAAAATATATCCTATAATAATCATTACAAAATCTAGTATTTTTCTCAAAACTCTTATTTACTGCAATTGCGTAAAATGCATATAAAAAAGAAATTGCCGCCTTGTGGATTTGTTACAATTTTTCCTAACGAACTTTATTCCCAGAAGTTGTTATTAAAATTGTTTAGGTATGTACTATATAATATTTATGTTTTTGAGATAGACGCCAAAAAAAAGAACTCGTTCGCACGTTTTCCGATGTTTATTGATAGTGTGACGAAATATATTCCTCGAATGATAGGCATAGAGACCAAAACTAGTTTCGTTGTTCAACCAAAACGCTATGTGTTCAGTATAAAAAGTGGAGGAAGAGTGGACAGTGAATTATTAAACCCTCTGCTGAGCTGTTGGGCAGTACTCCTCAGGAAAACACGATCAAAGGTAGGTCAGTTCATAAAACATTATCGTAGGGCAAACGATTTTGCCTTTTGTAAAATAGAAAATAATAGTTTTTTTATATTACAAAAATGGAACGAAGGACAATTAAACTTACAAAGTTATCTGCCAATTCACTTAAGTATTGTTTGTTGTAAATTATTGGCAGTTATTAAATTGAACCTTGAAGCCTTTAACTCTTTACCTTTGTAATAAAAAAATCGATGTAACAAATGAACTCACTGTCATTTGGAAGTTACTGAAAGTGTCAAAAGTCAAAATCATTTATTTCAATTAGACTAGAGAGGCACTTTAGATGGTCAAATAAAAAATAAAAGTGAACCTATTTGCTCATTCCAAGTTTAGATTTCTATGGAGAAGAAAGAACAAGAAACTCCATAGGTTACTCGTGCATTCAAATATTCCAGTGATGTATTTTTAGTTATTATACAGTGGCTCCTGGCTTTCCCGATTTTAATGTAATATTTTGTTATTTTACACTTACACAAATACGAATTATAACAAAAAAACAATTATCAGATTTGGTGCAGTCATTCAAGAGTTTTATGCGTACAAACATTTTGAAGAACTATTTTTTGATAATCTTTTATTAATTTTCACTTGTCCTGTCCATAAAATATAGTAAATTTGTAGTAAAGATTGATTGCGAAATTATGTTTTTATGAATTTTTCAATTTACTTATACCTAAATATGATTTTGTGCGACAAGGATAAGATTACCATTTGCGTGCAGGTCATTGTCATTTAAGCGGTCAAGGTGTACATGAATAATGAAGACCATCTGACTGAGAGCACCGGCTTCCTCGCCGGTTTTATTATTATTATATTTCTATTAACATCTATCTCTTCTCCAGTATTATTATTTATCGAATTAAATAAAAAATAATCGTCAAATCGTCGTTTATACGCGCTTACCTTTCGAATGACTACATCAATATGGATAATTATTTTTATCAAACCACTGTTAAGGTAAAATGTAAATTAAAAATAAATTCTACGAAATACACAGTGCTTGCTGAAGTACTGAATCAATATCTATTTTGCATGCACATTTTAAAAATAGTCTTCTAGCTACACTTAAAAACCTTAATGATAAAATATGATCAATGGAATCCATAATATTACAGACGATATTGCGTGATTAGATGATATTTTCCTTATATTATTTCATAGTTACAGTTCTTATTTCACAATTGAGATTCACTCTAAATAGAATGAAGCAGATATAATCAACTTTATTTTTAAAAACTCTGTGTATTTTAGAGAGCGGTCAAGTTTATCAGTCTTAAACCAGACATTTTTAATAACATTTTATTGTTTTTGTTACAGAATGAAATCCTTCATAGTTTTGTGTTTGTTCGGTCTGGCTGCGGTGGCTCTGGCCAAGCCTAATGGCAGCACTTACACTGACAGATACGACAACGTCAATCTGGATGAGATCCTTGGTAATCGTCGTCTCCTGACGCCTTACATTAAGTGCATCCTCGAAGAGGGCAAGTGCACTGCTGATGGCAAGGAACTGAAATGTAAGTAGTTTTGTATATTATATCATGTGGACAGGTAGTTCATAAAAAATACGTTCTAAAGCCAAATGTATCTGACACATTGTGGCTATCCAGACATTTTGAAACAGGTCCTTAGAGTTAGGCTGGTGTAACGGACCCTTTTATATAGTGTTGTTAATCTATATAAGAAACATGAACTTAGTGATTACCATGATTAGGGACTACAGTTGTTAAAAATAATGTTCATGTTTAAGCATGGTTCTCTGAACACGTACTATTTTAGAAAAACTAGTTTATTGATCAGTTAATCTCATTATTTGTTATTAAATTGTAACCAAATGTAAATAATATAGGAAAAGGTAGCAACCAGTATCTGCTTAAACTCATTTTAAGTACTAACACAAAATAGGATTTTTATATTTTTAAAATGAATCAATCCATTAAAAGATTATTTTTTAAAATAAATATTGAAAAGCATCGACATTTAAAAGTTTTGCACATTTATGACGTTGGTTTGGTCCACAAATTGATATTTAATACACAATTTTTATTCTTCGACCAAGAAGAAGTTATATCTTCAAAATGTTCTACAGCAAATTCTATTTCTTTTCCAGCTCACATCAGGGAGGCTTTAGAACAGAACTGTGCCAAATGTACCGATGCTCAGCGCAGTGGAACCCGTAGGGTCTTGGGCCACATCATCAACAATGAGGAGGAATCCTGGAACCGTCTCAAGGCTAAATATGACCCCGAGTCCAAATACACTGTCAAATACGAACTGGAACTCAGAAAACTGAAGCAATAAATTAGTTTATAGTATAAGGATAACATAGCGACAGATTAGTTTATTTTTTTCGATTAAGTGAGTACAATTAGAACAAAGCAGATTAGAATTTGGTAAGACAACCATGACGCCCTTAGCTTTAGATAAAAAATCTCAAATATTGACAACCTCCTTTTGAAAATTGATAGTGTTGTCATTGTTTTACACTTTTACAGTAAAGATATCAAACATAATGAATATCAAGGCTTGTGAAATACATAATTATAATAAATAAGCTCTAGTATAGTGCAATAAATAAATTATTGGTAATTAATCGAGCGCCTGCATTTTTATTTTGTAACTATCCTTTCGCTTTATTACCAAAGGAAAAGTTATCTATATCACCTTTTAGCTTCCTACCTATCTTTTAAAATAAGTATCTTTTAAGTAGGAGAGCCATGCTTCGGCACGAATGGGCCGCCTCGACCGGAGTGATACCTCGGCCGAGCAGAAAACCGACGTGAAACAACGCGACGACGACGAGATTACTGGAGGCCCAATTACCCCCCCCCCCTCCAATCTCCGCAATCTCTGAATCCCCGAAAATCCTCAAATTCCTATAATCCCCAAAAGGCCGGTAACGCAGTTGTAACGCCTCTGGTGTTTCGGGTGTCCATGGGCGACGTCGATTGCTTACCATCAGGTGATCCGTCTGCTAAGTACACCACTGAGTTCGATCTTGAACACTTTGAATCCAATCATTACTAGCCACCTACACTACGTTTGTCTAGAACGGATCCCTACATCAGAACAGGTCTAAATAAATCAGTGATACATTATTGTGCACTCACTACCCTTTCCCGGATTCATTTAAAAATAAAACCATCCTAAGATTGTCTGCCGAAAAAAATTGTCGCGTGTGATAAGACCGCCCATTGTACTCGAATTACTGTTACATTGTAAACTATTTTTTGTGCAATAAAGTATGAAATAAATCTTATTAATAAATATTTTCTTAGCGAATGCATCCTAATTACTCCTAATCATGTTGGTACGTTTACCATCATGATTATGAGTTATAAACTCATGATTACGTATATAAACACGACCATTGTGATCAAATACACTTTGTTACTGGCGTCAACACACGGTGATGTAAGATTTGTTTAATCAAAAATGATATTTTTACATTGAACTTCCACGGAATCGTTTCAGAGTACACAACAGTATAAATAATTACACACCTCTACGTACTTCTAGGTATTAACTTCTTTAATATATTTATTCAGAAACGCTAATAGACTAATATTGTTTTGTGATCTAGATCAATGTTAAGTCAAGGATAATTTTTCGGTCATTTGCATGCCCTTTTATACGACAATTTCTTGGATCGCAGATAACTTTTCAAAATTCAATAAATGAATCTGTTAGAGAAAACATTCAAATTTTAAAGTATGATAACTTATAAAAACAACTTTGAACATTCTAAGTACATGTACTTACTAAAAATAAACACGGTGATAATTCATTTGCATCTTATTTTTGTAGGCATTTGACCGCACTTTCAGTTTACACAAAACAAAATTTTACCTCAATAAATTATAGTTAAGTACTGGTTTCCTTATTTATTAACTTGTCTACAGTTAAAAAATTAGGGAAATAACTTCGTAGTTTAACACCGTTTGTACGTAGTTTTTACCTAATTTAACTTTAACATTTGGTCAACATTTTCTCTGGACAAAACAATAATAGAAAAATGGATGACGACCAATAGTTTTAATATTTTTAGTTTTATTATATGAACTTTCATATATTTAGTCCATGTCGTGATTTCATCATAGAAAATATGATTGAATGATACTTTCATTATGACGTCGACTAAAGGTAATTGTGATTGCGTGATCCATACCAGAATCAAGGCGGAGTTATCGTGATTTATCACAATTAAGTATAAGATCTAATAGTTTTAATTGGTATACAAAATACCCAGTATTTAATGTTAGAACCAAACTACTTTTTACGTGAGTACTTGGGAAAACCTTTCCTTTGTTTTTTAATATGGATCTTCGATTGGACTAGATCACGGTATTCTAGTAGGAAATTTTTCGCTATTTGTCCGATTTGTAATAGCAAGTGTGTTTTTTGGACAAACACAGATGCCTTAGTATAAGTTTGTTTCACGTTTAAAGTCATCGAAACGAGTACGCGTTCGACGCTCTGATTGGCCGGCTCCAATGAACTAACCAATCGGACCTTATGCTCTCTTAGAATTTAAGGAAGCCACAGAAGAAAAACTAGTTCTTAATAAATACTCTCGTGTTTTATTTTGGTTTTTGACATATTTATCATAACGTTGGGTAGTATATATAAATAAACCAATGAGTAATCATAAACCCGTTATATGTCCAACCACTGACTCATTTTAATATATATTTGGGTTTTTTTTATTCTGATAACGTATGTTGCAGGAAAATGATTAGCAAAAAAGTTTTGAAGTATTTATTATAATTATGATTAGGTAATATTAACTGTTTAACCTTTTGAATGCACCGATATGAGACAAAATCTAAACATTTATTCATATAATAAAACTGTAGAAGTGTAAATTGTGTACATTGAAAATTAAAAAAAATAATGAGTAGGGAGTGTTAATAGACGAATACCGAACCCAAACATTCTATTTTTATCTGTCTTTTTTTATGGCATAAGCCGGTAAACCAGCAGACGGATCACCTGATGGTAAGCTAAGGTCGTAATTTCCGTAGTTTTAATTATTTTTGGGATAAAAAATTACCTATACTAAAAATTATATAAATCGATTCAGTTAACGATTCTGAACAAACTATTTTCAGGATGTGCGTTATTTAAGATACATGTTGTAGAGGTATATAGGCTACTTTTTATCCCTGGGAACGCGGGCAGGGCCGCTGACAGAAGCTAGTTAACAATAAGTGTGTATGTATTATGAACACTGGAAAAAGTTCTTGCAAAAATTATACATTACATCATTCTCTTGGACGTGTATAAACAGTAAATATTTAAACGTATATACTTGCGTTTGCGTAAATCATTGCTTGATTTTCTAATAGACCTTCTTTGTATCTGGTACAAATACAAAGAAGTGCCTCGTTGGCCGAGTGGTCGCAATTGCGACTGCCGGGTAAGGGGCCTCGGGTTCGATTCCTGGGTCGGGCAAAGTATTACTGGGTTTTTAAAAATTCTCAGTAGTAGCACGGAGTCTGGAACTGTGTCCTGTATATGGCAATAGGCTCACTTACATGGGACTCATAACATAAATAGTGAAAAGTGGGTGTTACATTGTACAGTGGTATAATGTGCACCTTTGCCTACCCCTTCGAGGATAAAAAGGCGTGATGTTATGTTATGTATCTGGGACCTAACATTTTAGAATCATATGTCTTAGATACTTTGTTATCAACTTAAAAAAAGGAGGAGGTTTGTTTATTCGACCGTCTATTATATCGTTTTTTTCCTCCAATTCATGGTGAAGGAAAACATCTTATGGAAATCAGGAACATATGTAGTATAAACCATAACGTGATTACTAATCCACCTTGAGTACAAAATAAATATGAAGTGTCAACAATATGACAGTTATAGCGTAGGATGTTGTCATTTTTTATAGTTTATGGAAAATTATGACTATAGAAGTCTAAGAATGGATGAATGAATCGAGGGCAGGAAAAATAAGTACTATACCTATAAAATCACTACATAGTATAAAACAAAGTCGCTATCCGCCGTCTGTCTGTCCCTAATTATGCTTATATCTTACTTATACTACTCAACGGATTTTGATGCGGTTTCTTTTAATAGATAGAGTGATTCTCAAGGAAGGGAAATTTTGTATATATATAATACATGCATATTGCACCCGTGCGAAGCCGGGGCGGGTCGCTAGTAAGATATAAAATACTGATGTCTCGTTGGTCGAGTGATTGAAAATGCAACTATCAAGCAAGGTGTGTCGGGTTCGGTTCTATAGTCACACAAAGTGCTATTGGATTTCTTAGGAGTTTCAAATAATTTTTCAGTAGTCGCTCTCAGTGGAGAGTTAATATTGTGACCAGGGTAACTATAGTCATAGCAAAAGTCTCACTGTCTATTAGGACAATTAACAAATTGGGTTAATTGTTACATCTTAATTCTCATTCATTCTCAAATTGAACAGTCGAAATAAATTATTTCGACAATTTTACCTGTGTATATGAATTTGTATTAAGTTTCTGGGATACCTAAGTGAATTAAATTAACATGCAGGGTACACGTTACACGTCAGCTAACCCGAACTTCATTGACGTCATCTCACACTTGACCCTCTATCTCGAGAGTTTAAAAAAAGTGCATGCTTAAAAGTATTTATATAATTTCAGTTAAATTTTGATCTTATCGCAATAAATAAATAAATAAATAATTTGAAACGAACGCGGAATTAATGCAGACACTGGCATTGAACTCATAATTATAATTTAACAAAAATATTTGTTTATACGTTTAACAAATTATTGCTAAGAATATTGTGTTAAATATTTTTCTCTATTATATTATTTTTTATCTATGTGTTATATATATATTGCACAAGCTATAAGCAATCCAAGTATGAGATAGGATAGTAGTATATGATAGGAGTAGTTTGCATGACACAGTATTTCCTTGTGTTAGGAAAAAAGGATTGAACTTGTTTTTTTTACTAGTTATAAAAAATATTGTATTTTCAAAATTTATTTATTTATTATTTATTTATGAAATATTTATAAAATTAAAGTACAAAGGTACCACTTATTCCTATTGGAATTTCTTCCTGTGGACCCGTGGCAAGAAAAGTAATTATAATATAGGCAAGACATTTAGATACAAATAGAAACTCATAGACGTAATAAAAAACTTTTAACTTCGTTTAAATTGTTAGACAGTACTTAAGCAAGCAGAAGTCTTCTTTGAATTAAGGAAAATAAAAATACACATTTGACCAACCAAAAATTACTTAACTCGTCGAGTACCGGTTTTGTAGACACAATTATAGAACAATAGCGGTCACCGGTGACCGCTTGGTGTTTGACAGTTTAATATCAATTACATAGTCAACCTCAAGAGAAAACACTCATGATATGAATATATTTAGTCATACGCAAAGTGTGTACGTCGGGAGTTTTTGCGTTACTTGTTTAATGGTATATAAGTGCACGCAGCGTCGCAGCCTACTGTAGAACGCACTCCATCTCACCACTGAACAAACCTCTCATACAAACAGGTAATTTAAATAAAAATCAGTTAATATTAAATTAAAAATTAAATAAAATTATGTTTAAATCTAAATT